CATATATTTTCCTAACTATAACTGTATAATGTTACTCTAATGCATGTTTTGAGGACTGGTCATTTCTCTTTTAACCAAAGTTTTTTTCTTTTCCACTTGGGAGAGAAAATTATTGATGGCTTCTTCAGAAGGTTTTGACAATCAGGAATTTAAAAGAATTTTTCCCCATTCCTAAGGAAGGACCATCTATTCCTGTGAATCTAGTTGGAAAATGGAGATAAAACACCTGAGAAGGTGTTTCTGGATGTTGAATTCTAGTTATTCAGAAGCTAAGCCTGGAAGACGAGGAGTACAAGGCCAGTTTGGGTCATAAGATAAAACTCTACCTCAAACAACTAAAGTGAAGACTGGAGGAAAAATGGCAGATGTGGTTCTCAGTTACGATGTGGCGGCCTGATGGGGTGGCACACGCCATTTTATAACTGATTTTATTGAGCTATACATTTTTTCTCTGCTCCCCTTTCTTTCTCTCCCCTCCCCTTCTACCCTGTCCCATGATACCCACACTCCCAATTTACTCAGGAGATCTTGTCTTTTTCTACTTTCCATGTAGATTAGATCCATGTATGTCTCTCTTAGGGCCTAGGTTGTTTTCTAGGTTCTCGGGAATTGTGGATTCTAGGCTGGTTTTCTTTGCTTTATGTCAAAAAGCCACTTATGAGTGAGTACATGTGATATTTTTCTTTCTGGGTCTGGGTTACTTCACTCAATATGATGTTTTCTAGCTCTATCCATTTGCCTTCAATTTTCAAGATGTCACTATTTTTTTCTGCTGTGTAGTACTCCATTGTTTAAATGTACATTTTCCTTATCCATTCTTTGGTCAAAGACCATTTAGATTGTTTCCTGGTTCTGACTGTGACTAAAAATGCTGCTATGAACATAGTTGAGCACATCTACTTGTGGTATGGTTGAACATCCTTTGGGTATACAATACCCAAAAATAGTATTATTGGGTCTTAGAGAAGATTGTTTCCTAATTTTGTGAAAAATAGCCATACTGATGTTCAAAGGGGCTGTATCAGCTTTCACTCCCAATAGAAATATGGGAGTGTTCCCTTTACCCCCACATCTACTCCTGCATAAGTTGCCATCAGTGTTTTTGAACTTGGCATTTGTACATGTGTAAGATGGAATCTCAAAGTTGTTTTGATTTCCATTTCTCTGATGGCTAAGGATGTTGAACATTTTATTAATAGTCTTTCAGTCATTTTAGATTCCTTTGCTGAGAGTTCTCTGTTTAGGTCTACCCCATTTTTAAATTGGATTGTCTGTTATTTTGACTACCAATTTCTTGAGTATATTTTGGTAACCAGTCCTCACCTTTAACCCCAGCACTCAGGAGGCAGAGACAGGTGTGTCTCTGTAAGTTTGAGGCCAACCTGGTCTATAAAGCTATATCCAGGACAGGTGCCAAACTTACACAGAGAAACTCTGTCTCGAAAATAGAGAAAAGGAAAAAAAAAACACATGGGGCAACTTTTACACTACATGTTGCCTTGCCGTGAACTGTGGACATAAAATGAAGAAAAAAGTATGAGTGCTTTCCATATAAAAAAATTCTTTCTCTTAAGAAAAAAAAGAAATAGTTTACATCACAGTTGACTTTTTGCCATTATATCATAGAATTTTAAAAAAGCATAAATAATTTTTCTTTCTAATCACTAAAGAGTAACTATCATTAATTCATAATTAAAATTTATAAGATCAAATTTTCCAAATCAAAGTCAAATTAAGTTTGAAAACATCTTGCACTTAAAATAACATAACATAGAATTAAATGAATTCTCCCTTCTATGATTAAAAACTTGAAGCCTAAAAGAACATTTTTGTTCTTTAACCTCCAGGATCAAAGAACATTTATCTCCCCTGGAAGTTTGCAGAGTTATTTGGCAGTCATTCTGCACAGATTTAATTGGTTTGTTTCAGTAATTCTGGGCTGTGAACAATTTCATATAATGTCCAATTGTGAGAGTAAAATGTATGATTGGAAAGCTTGGGTATAATTCATTCCCCAGAACTGAAATTACACAGCTTGATTAAGGAACTATTATGTTAGAGGTTGTCCTGTAAATCTTACCCAATCTTAATAGCATGTGATTTTGCAAGAATAAGCATTTAAAGTTCCTAGCAGCTAAGAGTGTAAATACAGGCATGTCCTACACTAAAAATATATTAGGCATCCTTGACATATAGAAAAGCAAGGACAAAAAGAAATCTAGATTCAAAGTTGTTCCTTTTAAAATTTTTGTTAAAGTTGTACTTTTGTTTTTTGTTTTTTTAATATGGGCAAGTGCAATATCCAGTGGCCATGCTTGCCAATGGAAACTGGAACATGGCCTACAGGAGGTGTTTTCCTTTCTTTCACCTGGTAGGTTCCATGGATTTAACTCAAGTAGTCAGATTTTGTGGCAAGCAAGTTCATTAACGTGTTCAGCCTTCCTGCTGGTCTGTTAACCTTGGTTTTGGAAGAATGTTGATTTTTATCAAAGCAGAAGTGATTTATGAAATGCTTGCCTCTTCTTCTAGGCTTTGGAATGCATTAGGATAGCATTTCACAATCATTTTTTTTAATCAACCCAGTAACCAGGGTCTGATGTAGGGAAAAGAAACAATTGTAAATATTGAAGCATATGTGTAACAATTTTAATTGATTCAGTTTCTGCTGCAAGGGGAAATTCCTGTTACGTTGATAGACTGTTGAAATTGTTTGCTTTTCAGACAGACCCAGGATACTAGCCAAGCTAAGAATGAAGAGGGAGCACCGTGTCCACTGAATGTCCATGAAACTTCTCATATCTGTCTCCTCATTGTGTAAATTTGTGAATATCATAAGGCTAATCTACATAATGCTTTAAATATTGAACTCTTTCTTTATCTCTTACTGTAAAGCCCTTGAAACAGTCATATGGACAGTGCAACTCAACACACCAGTAAGAACGAGCACCACATTACAATACATAATGATGAAAAATCATATCCAACAATAAGAAGAAAATCAGTAGGAATTCATAGTATGAGGATTTTAAATCATTAACATTAATTTTTCATGTAAACTGGAGGACACTTTCTTTTAATATTTAAATTTCACTTACTGTTTACATAAACAGCTTGATTTCATTTGTATCATTTCTTAAGATTTAATAATTAGCTAAAAATAAAATACATCTTTGTTTATAATATATACCTTCAAAAACATCTCAGCAAGAAGTATGAACATAGAACATCAAAGTAAAAGGCCAAAGCATTGGCTTATGACAAGAGAAAATGTTGAATTATAGTTAATAATATCAACATTACTTTGATATATATATCAATGTAATCAATATAATCATATGTCATTTTAATAATACTTATATTTTCATTTATAAGAAAATGAATGCTTTAGTCTAAAAGGTAGCTGAATGTAAGAGCTATAAGCTAAAATTCAAAAAATAATATTAGAAAATATGATTAAAAAGTTCACTCAAAAATATTAAACACTCTTAAACAAATTTCTAGAATTTGACTAAATGATATAACTGAGAAACCATATCTGTTTTTCTTATCTGGAGGATAAGTATCCAGTTAGAGCTTGCTTGTTAATATTCAAATATATGTGAGTAGAGACCACAACAAAGGCTCAAACTGCAAAGTGTTGGCTAAGTGAAACGTGAAAAAATGATTAACATTGTGTTATTCACTTGATATAACAAATGCTAAGTCAAATATGGCAGTTCTTAGGACCTGTAACCTCAGCACATAGGGAGCTGACACAGGAGGATTGCAGCGAGTTTATGGACAAAGCAGACTGTTAGAACTCATTATTTTTAAAAATTCAAAACAACAAAAATAAGTTCATTGAATACTTATCACATCACTAGCTACCTATGAACTAGGAAAGTGAACCCCTTCTTTGGATAAAGCATATTGTTTTGATGAAATTTAACTCAATGATAGAATTGGAACTTTTGTTACTGACATGGGGTAAGAGCTTCAACACTAATATTACACAGGCCACAAAAGGATTTCACAAGTGTGTATGTTCCATACACACTCATGGGAAAACAGAAACCAAATAAATAATATCTTACAAATGTCATATACAGATTATGTGTCAAATTTTATACCTTTTTCATCTCATACATGCTGTTCTTATGTACCAAATTTTAAAGTCATGGAAATGTCAGTTGTAAGTGATGGGTCATCTTGAAAGTTGCAGGTAAATGGATGGATTTAGAAAAGATCATATTGAGTAAGGAAACCAAGACCCAGAAAGACAAATATCTTATGTACTCGATCATAAATGACTTTGAGACATAAAGCAAAGAAAAGCCAGTCTACAATTCACAACCCCAGAGAAGTTAGGTAACAAAGAGGACCCCAAGAAAGATATACATGGACCTAATCTACATGGGAAGTAGAAAAAGGCAAGATCTCCTGAGTAAATTCGGAGCCTGGGGACCTTGGGAGAGGGATGAAGGGGAGAGGCTAGAAAGAGAGAGGAGGAGAAAAAAATATACAGTTCAATAAAACAATAAAAAATAATTTTAGAAAGATAACACAAAACAGAAGACAAAGCATGTTCAAGAGATGCCATAAGAAAGAATTATGCCTGAAATAAATTCACTCCCTAAAAAATTTGTAAAATTTTTCAGTAAGTACAGATATTTACATATTTGTCACTAATTTTACTTGAAGTATTTCAGAGAGACTCATGCAAAGAAGGAGTTTGTATTTCATGATGACTACAAGTTAAATGACTATACCGAACTATGGACGGCAGAAACATGTTTCAAGCACTGTTTGTGTTTTACATTGGGAGGAACCATCAGTTATGGCAATCAAATGAACTGCTTGCAACTTTTAAACTTAGCACCAAAGGCCATTAAGCTACAGACCAGTAATTCTTTCGCATTTTCTAGAGTTCATTTGAATGATTGCTGTAAGAAATATTATGTGCAAACGTTTTATAGTGTGGCTCAGCCAGAAGGAAGAAAGGCAATCTGTATTAAACTTACCTTCTGCTACACAAACAGTCCATAATATAAGCCAGATAATTCTTGCTGATAGTCTCATGGTTTGGATCTTTCTAGGATGCAGAGAAATACAGCACCACCCAGTCTCTGCTAAGCACTGTGGTTACTGCAGGGAAGACTTGCCCCAAAGTGAAGTGGAAAGTCGGTTTAGGAAATCAGGATCACTAAATGATCCACCCCCCAGCAACTTCTGCAAAGTAAACTAAACACAGAGCAGCATGGGTGTTTGATCGCTGCCCTTACTGCACCCGGCCTGTGACCTGCTGATTGTTCTTGTAAATGCCAGTTTGTTTTCTTTGAAAACAAGTTCAGGTTTCTCGGAATGCAAGGAGCAGGGGCTGGGGATCGCTTCTGGATTTCATAATCAGACAACAGAAAGCAATGAAGGCTCTTTTAAAAAATCATTTGGGAAGTTTCAGTCAAGCAGGGTTTACATGACCAACACCCAGGACCAGTCAAGAAACCTCTGTCTTCATTTCTAACTGCTGTGCTCTTTCAGTTTCCAACCAAAGTTGGTGTCTCCAAGAACATGTACTGTATTTGTCGGTACTTAGTGTATGTAAGTGGGGAAGAAGCAATTTATTCCTTTGTTTAGTTAGAGTCCTTTACTCAGAAATTTATTTGAGACATCATTTTGCATGATATGGCTCTTAATTATTAATTTTTGTTCTATGTATTATTCAATTTCAATATTGAACAAACTGATTTTAACAAATTTTATAATATTTTATATAGACATACACATATATATGTGTATACACATACACACACACAAACCAAAGTGGTCATCCCTACACACTCATATTTGTAGCAACATTAATTAGAGCCAGTATATTGTTAGTGTACACATAAAATACATATATGATGTTGATTATAGAAGAAGAGATCAAGATTTAGAGAGAGCAGGATGAGTAAGACGGGGAAGAGAGATGTGTAGAAATCATTCAATTTCAGCATATTCATGTATAACATTTTCAAAAATTCAAATTAAAAATTTTAAAGTAAGGCCCGAACAGTATTCAAGAGCAGCAGACAGGCCCAAGTGACCTCCAGGAGAACCAGCCAGACCCAATCAACCTCTGGAAGCAAGATGCAGGCAAAGGGACCTCTGGGAGCATGACTCTACTTCTGGCATGATTGGAATCTTGGCATTGACCCTACCATGAGGAGCAACCATCTGAACCTTTGACACACAGGCACCTGGAGAAGGGACCACAGGAGAAATAAACCCAACTATACCAAATGGAGGAAAAGATAGGTAGACAAAATGTAAGAATATTTTGCAAAGAGCAAGACAACACCACCAAAACCTAGTGACTGTAGAGCAACAAGATTTGAAGCACCAACACAGATGAATCAGAAGGAAATGACCTTAACAATAACTTCAGAAAAATTACTGAGGCCCTTAGAGAGTATTGAAAAATTCCCTCAAAGAAGTGGGAAAGAGGGAGGAAAAGACAAAGAAATGAAATAGAGGAAATAAATAAATTCCTCAATCAAATAATCAATCAATCAATAAAACAGGAAAAGAAATCAAACAGGTGAAATAAATGATTCAAAACTTGAAAACTGAAACAGAGACAATAAAGAAAATTAAACCTAAGTGAATTATGGAAGCCAAAATATCAGTAAATATTTAGGAACCACAAAAGTAAGTATAAAAAGCAGAACACAAGAGATGGAAGAGAGAATATCAGGTTTTGAAGATATGATAGAGGAAATAGGTTAATCAGCAAAAGAAAATGTTAAGTCTAACAAAAGTTTAATAAAAAATAATCCAGGATAGAGGAGACACCATGAAGAGAGCAAGCCTAAGAATAATAGGGATAAAAGTAGGAAAAGTTCCCTTCAAAAGCACAGAAAATCATTCAGCAACATAATAGAAAACTTTTTCAACCTAAATAAGGAACTGCCTCCTGCTGGGTTGTGATTCCCGCCCAAGCCCTGACTTCAAACTCTATTACAGAGTGACAGTATTGAAAACAGCTTGGTATTGGCATAACAACATAGAAGTCAACCTATGGAATCGAATAGAAGACCCAGATATTAACCCACAAACCTATGAACACCTAATTTTCGACAAGGGAGCTAAAGGTATACAATGGAAGAAGGAAAGCATCTTTAACAAATGGTGCTGGCATAACTGGATGTCAACCTGTAGAAGAATAAAAGTAGATCCATATCTATCACCATGCACAAAACTCAAGTCCAAATGGATTAAAGACATCAACATTAATCTGACCACTTTCAACCTGATAGAAGAGAAAGTGGGAAGAAGTCTACAAGATATAGGCACAGGAGACCACTTCCTAAGTAGAACCCCAATAGCCCAGACAATAAGAGAATCAATGAATAAATGGGACCTACTGAAACTGAGAAGCTTCTGTAAAGCAAAGGACACTGTCAGTAAGACAAAAAGGCTACCTTCTGACTGGGAGAAGATCTTCACCAACCCCTCATCAGACAAAGGTCTGATCTCCAAAATATACAAAGAACTCAAGAAACTAGACACTAAAACACAAATTAACCCAATTAAAAAATGGGGTATTGAACTGAACAGAGAATTCACAGCAGATGAATTTCGAATGGCCAAAAGGCACTTAAGGTTATGCTCAACCTCCTTAGCGATCAGGGAAATGCAAATCAAAACAACTTTGAGATACAATCTTAAACCTGTCAGAATAGCCAAACTCAAAAACACCAATGATAGCCCATGATGGAGAGGATGTGGAGTGAGGGGAACACTCATCCATTGTTGGTGGGAATGCAAAATTGTGCAGCCACTGTGGAAATCAGTGTGGCGGTTTCTCAGGAAACTGGGAGTCAACCTCCTTCAGGACCCAGCAATTCCACTCTTGGGAATATACCCAAGAGATGCCCTATCATACTACAAAAGCATTTGTTCAACTATGTTCATAGCTGCACTATTTGTAATAGCCAGAACATGAAAACAACCTAGGTGCCCCTCAGTAGAAGAATGGTTAAAAAAGGTGTGGAACATATATACACATTAGAGTTCTACTCAGCGGTAAAAAATAATGACATCTTGAATTTTGCATGCAAATGGATGGACATAGAAAATGCTTTACTGAGTGAGGTAACCCAGACCCAAAAAGTGGAACATGGTATGTACTCACTCATAAGTGGATTCTAGCCATAGTTAAAGGTCTTTGAGCCTATAATTCGTGATCCTAGAGAAGCTAAATAAGAAGGTGAGCCTGAAGAAAGTCATATAGTTATCCTCCTGGATATTGGAAGTAGACAAGATTGCCAGGCAAACTTGGGTGCACATGGCGGGGGGGCGGGGGAGTAAGCAGAGATGGTTAGAGAGAAGGGAGAGGGGGAGGATTGGGGATGGCTTGGGGGAATAGTATGGGGGGAGGGAGGAAGTATTGATATGGGAACAGGGAAGTATATATATCAACTAAGGGAGCCATTTTAGGGTTTGCAAGAGACTTGATTCTGAAGAGGTTCCCAGGCCCAAGGAGAGGTCCCCAGATTCTTCCCTAGGCAGCAGAGGAGAGGGTGCCTGAACTGGCCTTGGCCTATAACCATACTGATGACTATTTTGCATATCACCATAGAACCTTCATCTGGCGATGAATGGAGATAGAGACAGAGACACATATTGGAACACTGGACTTAACTCCCTAGGTCCAAATGAGAAGCAGAAGGAGGGAGAACGTGAGCAAGAAAGACAGGACCAGAGAGAACCTTCATCTGACGATAGATGGAGATAGAGACAGAGACCCACACTGAGCCCCCAAGGTCCAAATGAGGAGCAGAAGGAGGAAGAACATGAAAAAGGAAATCAGGACCGCCAGGGGTGTGTTCACCCTCTGATACAAGGGGACTGATCTGATGAGAGCTCACCAAGGCCAGCTGGACTGGGATTGAACGAGCATGTGATCAAACCAGATTCTCTGAATGTGGCTGACATGGGGGGGACGCTGACTGAGAAGCCATTGACAATGGCACTGGTTCTGGTTTTGTCTGCATGTATTGGCTTTTTGGGATCCTAGTCTTTTGGATGCTCACCTTCCTAGACCTGGAGGGAGAGGGGAGGAACTTGAACTTCCCCCAGGGCAGGAAACCCTGACTGCTCTTAGGGCTGCTCCTGACTGCTCCTTAGAGAGGAAGGAGGACAGGGAGTAGGGGGGCAGAGGAGAGGGAGTTGGGGGGAATGGGAGGACATGGGGGGAGGGGAGGAAGTGTAAATTTTTATAAACAAATAAATAAAAATTAATTAATTAATTAAAAATAATTAATAAATGGGGCCTCCTGAAACTTTGAAGCTTCTGGAAAGCAAAGGACATGATCATCAAGACAAAATGACAATCTATTGAACAGGCAGAGGTCTTCACTGACCCTACATTGGACAGAGGACTGATTTCCAAAGTATACAAAGAACACAAGAAACTTGACATCAAAAGAACAAATAATCCACTTTTTAAAATTGGGTACAGAACTAAACAGAGAACTCTCAACAGAGGTATCTAAAATGAGTGAAAGACACTTAAGGAAATGTTGAACATCATTAGCTATCAGATAAATGCAAATCAAAACAATTCTGAGATTCCATCTTATACCTATCAGAATATCCAAGTTCAAAAACACTGATTAGAACTTATTCCGGAAAGGATGTGGGGTAAGGGGCACACTCTTGTACTGCTGGTCAGAGTGAAAACTTGTAGTCATTTTCATTTTGGAAATCATACTTGTTCTCTCTCTCTCTCTCTCTCTCTCTCTCTCTCTCTCTCTCTCTCTCCCTCATAGACAGAGATACCATTTTGTAGGCATAGACTGCTCATTTGTTTCACAACCACCTATACCAAAAATAATCACACAGAAACTTTATTAATTGCTACACTGTTTGGACAATAAGCTCATGCATTTTTCTAGCTAACTCTTACATCTTAAATTAACCCATTGCTATTAATCTGTGAATCACCACAAGGCCATCATCTACCTGTAAGTTTCATCCTGGAGGTTCAAATATTCTTTGTTTGGCAGCTAGATACCATCTCTCTGATTCCATCTACTCTTCTCGTCTATCTCTACTTGGAATTCCCACCTTGTTCTATTCTGCTCTGCCATAGTATCAAGGAGCTTCTTTATTAACCAATGGGAAAAAAATATTCACACCATACAGAGGGTATTTAACATCTCTCTCCATTTTCTCTCTCTCTCTCTCT